TGATATATTTGGCCGAATTGTATTTGAGTGGTGTGTCCCCTTCGCCGAAGCATTCATCTGATTTTAGAATTCATTAGCCAATCACCACTCATTCATATCGAGTGGGTATCACAAACTTGCAGTCAAACTGTGACACGGGTGCTACAGCCAACAAATTCCAACTACCATACTATCGGCTTAAATGCACGCCAATGGGACCTCAGGTTTTGTGTTCCATTGAAACGACTAGAAATGAAATGAAATGGGGTTTAACGTTCTACTGTTTTGCTCCGAACTGGGCTAATGAAGACAGGCATACACCACACAGTGTGCTATGAGGGAAATTTTACCCGGACAGCGACACTGCGGTGTATCGAATTCCAACTGTCAAGGGATCTTTTACGTGCACGCCAACGTGTACACGGGATCTCGCTTTTTCGTATCATCCGAATGACTAGACAGCTGTCCTTGTCAGGCCCTCCATCCTGCATCACTGACAAGGGGGAACCACGCCGGAAAATCTGGGTGAACTTTCTCGGCCAATGCAGGGATCGAACACCTGACCTCCAGGCTAGCGAGTCAGCGTCTTAGCCACCATGACGACTAGGCAGGGAATCCATGCTGAAAAATCCAAATGAGCTTTCTCGGTCAACACTGGGAGCAAACCCGCAACCTCCCGGGTACCAAGCCAGTGCCTTACACACTAAGCCACATGGCTCTCTTCTAATTACTGTGACAGTCCAGTCACATGACAAACAAGGGTAATTAAAACAGATTTTCACGGCTTGGGTAAGATCTTCGGGATTCAAATGGTTTTAGATATCACACAGTTTGTATATGGTAAGGTACATGTATCTTAAACAGTTTATTACATGTCACATATTCATATTTTTCAGTTTCAATATTAGATGCCATAGCAAATCAAAGATCATATAATAGAATAAGTCAAAAAACCCAAATATGGAAAAAGAAAGAGCTGAAGAAATGGTGATTTGAGCACCTATGCTTTCTCATAGGTGTTTTTGGAGGGTAAGTGTTCAATTCTAATAGAAAAGATTGTTGTTATGGTATTTTAGAATCTCACCATAATGTGTTTGGCACAATATAGCCCGGTTGGAGCTGATGTGACATAAACCTCCATTTCATTTTATTGTTTTGAAATTTAAAATTCAGTTTAGTATAGTAAATTTGTACACGTACATGTATGTGCACAAACAGAATCTTACTTATGTCCAGATACATGTAGATATGACTGTCTCATCTGTGGTGGACCACGGTGGCCAAGTGGGTTAGACACTGGCTCGCATATTTTAAGGTCGCGGGTTTTCAGTAAGACAATGCAGTACAGAGGACTGGGCTAATGAAGTTGGGCATATGCCATACAGTGTGCTACGAGAGAAATTTTGCCTGGTACCGTGACCTTAAGGCCTTCTCTTGTATCAAATTCTAACTGCCAGGGGATCTTTTACATGCACGCCAATGTGTACACGGGACCAAGCTTTTTTGTTCAATCTGAATGACTAGACAGCTGTCCCTGTCAGGCCCTCCGTCCTGCATCACTAACAAGAGGAAACCATGCCGGAAAATCTGGGTGAACTTTCTCGGCCAATGCAGGGATCGAACAACCCACCTCCAGGCTAGCGAGCCAGCGTCTTACCCACTTAGCCACCATGACGACTAGACAGAGAATCCATGCTGAAAAATCCAAATGAGCTTTCTCGGTCAACACTGGGAGCGAACCCGCAACCTCCCGGGTAGCAAGCCAGTTCCTTACACACTAAGCCACATGGCTCTCTTCTAATTACTGTGACAGTCCAGTCACATGACAAACAAGGGTTATTAAAACAGATTTTCACGGCTTGGGTAAGATATTCGGGATTCAAATGGTTTTAGATATCACACAGTTTGTATATGGTAAGGTATCTTAAACGTTAATTACATGTCACATATTCCAATTTTTCAGTTTCCATATTAGATGCCATAGCAAATCAAAGATCATATAATAAAATAAGTCAAAAAACCCAAATATGGGAAAAGAAAGAGCTGAAGAAATGGTGATTTGAGCACCTATGATTTCTCATAGGTGTTTTTTGAGGGTGAGTGTTCAATTCTAATAGAAAAGATTGTTGTTGTGGTATTTTGGAATCTCACCATAATGTGTTTGGCACAATATAGCCCGGTTGGAGCTGATGTGACATAAACCTTGATTTCATTTTAATATTTTGAAAATTAAAATTCAGTTTAGTATAGTAAAACTGTGAACGTACATGTATGTGCACAGACAGAATCTTACTTATGTCCAGATAAATGTAGATATGACTATCTCATCTGTGGGGACCCACGGTGACCAAGTGGGTTAGACACTGGTTCGCATATTTTAAGGTCGCGGGTTTGCAGTAAGACAATGCAGAACGGAGGGCCTTACAAGGACAGCTGTCTAGTCGTTCAGATTGAACAAAAAAACGTGGTCCCGTGTACACATTGGCGTGCATGTAAAAGATCCCCTGGCAGTTAGAATTTGATACAAGAGTAGGCCTTAGGGTCACGGTACCCGGCAAAATTTCTCTCATAGCACACTGTATGGCATATGCCCAACCTCATTAGCCCAGTCGGAGCTGAACAGTAGGATGCCGAACCCCATTTCCTTTTTTTCATTTTGTCTCATCTGTGACAAAGCAAACCAACACATTACCATACAATGTAATTAAATTAAAACTTTCATCTTTTAACTGTCGAGTCGATTTAAGTCAACTAATACATAGTATTTTTTTTTCTCAGTTAACTACATCAGAAAGATCAAGACAGTTGGAAATGGCTATTCATATTATGGAAACTTTTTCTCACAGAGCTTGATAATCAGGTAAAATGTAAGTACCATACATATTTGTATTTTTTATCATCAACTAGTTCTATACACTTGCTTGGTAATCTAGTTATTCTTCTTGGGGCAATGCCTAGGACTCTCCTATTCAAGTCGTTGCATTCTTGATTTTTGACAATCACATCCATTGATTTTCTTCAAGTTGTGATAGACCCTATGTGTATTTTTACAGTAAATAGCAGTATAAAAATGATGGACAATATTTTACTTTTCAAATAGATTTTAATAGGTAATATCCAATTTGTTGTCGATGGAAATAAAATATAATAATCTGCCTGGGTCTGTTACTGGACAAGACACAATAAGTGTTACCCAAAGATGAAACAAAATAGAGACTCAGTCTTGATGTGGCAAAATAAATTGTTTATTTAAACATTGTGAACCATAAATAGTAAGAAAGTATTCTTATTGCCTACTTTTTATTTTTTAGGCTGGAAGATTATTTGATGTATGATAACAACAAGAGATCCCAAGCACCAATATATTTTATAATTCTGGAAAAGAATGCATTTGACCCAATTTTTGAATATTTATTTTTTGTTTTTACTGTTAAATATTCTTCCCAAACACAATTAGATTTTAATTCTCTACAGAAATTTATGTATAATATAGAATGTAAAGTGACATATTAATCACTTAGAATTTGGTCGGAAATTATAAAGTATTTAATAGGCATAATCTAGAAACCAAATGTAGATCAAATATACCCAGAATTACAAAAAACCTTGACCTACATTAAGGTGACTTTCCCTTGCTTATGAAATGAAATAGGGTTTAAGATCCTACTTTTCTGTGTTATTATGGTGATTCTGCCCTACAACCTACTCTTATATCAAATATTTCAACTGTCAAGGGTTGTTTAAAGGGAACCCAGGAGGGCCGAATGGTTAACACACGCACATTGGATCAGAAGGTCTGTCATTGAGTCAGATAATTCAATTGTCAAGGGTTCTTTAAAGTAAACGCACTGGGGGTAGTTTCAATTTCGGGCTTATACCCAATTATCCCTTGCCATGTCCTACACTACTAACGTGTGGGAACTATGTCGGAAAATCCAGTTGAAATTTCTTGGCCAATGCCTTATACTCACTGAACCACAGTGACTCCTCCTTGCTTTTGACTTGTGATTATTTATATATATTTTGTACATATTATTTAATGTTTGCGATTTTCTCTGATATTTTTTTATTTTTCAATCCTGTAATCTTGATGCTTTGCTCCTTTTATGTACAAAATATTCATTTTGTTTGTTGTTTTTTTTAATGAGGAAAAGGTTCTACATCATTTTATTACTCCTGCAAAATAGTGCATTTTTCTTTTGTTAGTTTTCTGTGTATGCTAGTTATTTCCAGATGCCTCACAAATCACTTGTAATATGACTTTGTAGCACTTTTCAGTTTCTGAAAGTATTTCAATTTAGTGCATAATTAATCTAATTAGGTCTTGGTTTGGATGTTATTAAATTTAGATATATTTGAATTATATATTTTTGGGGTATGGGGTAGGGATCTTTCTTTTCTCAGTTCTTGTTTTCGGGTAAAGAAAAAATTAAATAGCTATTTTGTGATGTGGTGTGTGTGGGGGGGGGGGGGGCAAAGTATAACAAAAACTTTATTAGTATTAGAATTATATCTCTGTTTTTTCTGTTAACATTTCAAATGATGTCTATTTAGTTTTGATTTGGTGGTGTTAATTTACTTTTTCCTATCATTTTATGAATAAATGATAATTTAACAAATGAAATTGTTACCTCATTTATCAAACTTTACAGGTTAAACAGAGCAAAAGGGGTGGGGGCTGCATGGGAAAGATTGCTAAATTGAGGGAAAATAAAACACAAGTTTTTGTTGGTGGTTATACACAAGTTTTTATGAAACCACACAAGTTTCAGAAATTTCAACACAAGTTTCAGAAATTTCAACACAAGTTTCAACACAAGTATTGTGTAGAATTTCACACAAGTTTGTGTTGTTTGGTAAATTTTAACACAAGTCTTGTGTTGTTTCAACATTTAACACAAGTCTTGTGTTGTTTCAACACAAGTTTGTGTTGTTAAATAGAGACACCTAACTTGTGTTGAAAACAACACAATTTTGTGTTGTTTCAACACAAGTTTTTTTTCAGTGACGTTAGTATTTACCTGGTTTGCAGTCACCACAGATGTTATCCGTTGTACTTGTACATGATCTGTTATATATTCGATTCTTCAGACAAATCGCACACGCTTTACAATATCTGTCCAGGTTCTGTGTTGCAGTAAACGAACCTGGTCTGCATTCATTGCACACTGTATCGCTCTCCCCGGAACACGTTCTTAACGCATACGTACCCGGAGGACACGTTGAACAGTTCTTACAAACTCCATCTCTTAAGAACATGTTCTCCGGGCACGGGGAGCAGGTCGTGTTGCTCACAGCTGTGCAAGTTTGAATCGTAAATTGAAGAATGTCATCACATGATGTGCATTCTGTACACATGACTGAATTCTTCTCCAAAGAAAACGTTCCTGGCGGACACTGTTCACACACTGTATCGTTTGAAATAGCACATTTTGTTTTTATAAACTCTCCTGGGGAGCAGCTCGAGCACCGCGCACAGTTATGGGTCGTTCCTGGTTCTTCGTTATGTTCATTTTGTAATCCACAAAATATCACCGATTTAACAACACATACCTGTAATGGAAAGGTAACAATATAATCTTAAAAATTGTCAATTTACGCGATTTCGGTATTTCAAAATTCATATTTTAAGCGATGCATCGTCGAGAGTAAAGAAAGCACAAATTAACCAAATCTAAGAGACCGAACCCAGCCTGTTGCTCCACAGCAACGACAGTGTGCAGTTAAATTCTTGTCTTGGATTCATACAAATACGTTTGTCTTTTTAATGTCTGTTTCGACAACAAACGTTTTAAGTTTTTGCCACGCATAAATGTAGTGATTATATCCCACAACTGTGGATATTACCCGCAAAATATATCGTGTGGCATAGAAAAAGTGTAATAATTGAAAAACGTATCGTACCTATATTCGTACCTATATCATTAACATTGCACATGTCGTACCGTATGGATGTTTGATAACTTCAATAGTATTAACAATGTGAAATGTTAAATATAATCAGGGGTGGATCCAGGAATTTTTGCAGGAGGAGGTTTGCCAGGTTCCTGAGAAAATGTATCCCCCCCCCCCCTCGGCTTGAAATGTTTTGAGAAATACATGGTCTCTATCGTCATTTTGGCGTATATACATACACATTGATCTTTTTAAACAGAGAAATCCAACATCCTGTTTGACGTCAATTTTTATTATGAATTAATACGATGACATTGTGATTCAATTTTATTGATGCAAAGCATTAATTGTGATATCACATAATGTCTATCTCGCGCTTTGAGTGCCCATTCTGTCGCACCATCTAACGCTAAAGGATAAAGCACAATTATGACACTTTTCTCATAAAAAAGATTGTTTTACAAAAAAATTTATGTAGCTGAGCAGGTTGGGGGGGGGGGAATCCAAGCCTGGTAATATATGTATAGTGCTTTTTGAATAACCCCGCTTTAAATTGTGTACTCCTTTTTTTCTGGGCCACCCGATATAATATCTTTCAATGGAAATTGTGCAAACTTTTCGATCAGCAAGCCATTCCAGCTTTTCCCAGTTTATCCCACCAATAGGCTTTGAACCCGTAAGTAATTTTTAATGTACTAGAATATGAGAAATTGGTCATATTCTTTGCACAGCACTCTATAGCCCCCCTTCTCAGTGGTGCAGGATGGAGGGCCTGGCAGCTCTCTGGACGCTCGGAAGGGACGAAAACCCGGGCGACCTTGTAGGCAATGGCGTGCACGTAAAAGAAACCATTAGAAGGCCGTAGCGGCGCTGTCGGAGCAAAATTTCCCTCGCCATAGCACACTGTATGGCGTATGCCCGTCTTTATTATCCCAGTTTGTGCATAAGAGTAGGCCGCAAAATCCCATTTAATTTCATTTACTCACCAATTGTATTGTGATGATTAACTGTTTGCAGCTATACATTTTCCTGCAGACATATATAGCTCATTCACTAGAACAGGAAGTTACGACGACGCTATTACTATTCTTGTGTGCTAAAGGAAAAAAAACACTTGAATAAATATACGGTTACTACTTAAAATAGACCGGGCCCTCGCAATATACTTCCCGTTATTCAAACCAATATACATGTACTATATTTCAATGACATCCACCACTTAGCATAGCCCAATTAACGAACAAAAATAACAGTTTGTTAGTCTCAACATGACCAAAGTGCTTTCTTTGTCACTCCATAATGAACGGAGACTAGTTAGTAATCATGATCGACCCTATACTTCTTCTGTATTCAATGTTAACGGTAGATGGAAATATATACCAAAAGCGTTCAATTTTATAGATGAATACATATAAATATACGCCTAGTTACCCACCCACCACCCAAATAAACAATTTTATTTCATCATTTTAATATACATCAAACCATAAGCTGAGTATTTCTGGTCTGCCCTTTATAGACATTATAATACATATAAATAATTATAAATAAGTCATATAAATAAAATATATTTTATGTTAGTCAATATCGATGTCAGCCACTCTAACTTCCTCTTCCGTGTATTATATACATTAAAAACCTTTGTAATATTGTTCTTCGATTCCTTTGTCATGTTACTCTATTATTATTCTATACAGATATAGCTATGGTGGCTGACTGATATCATGTCGTGATGCCCTTCATAAGGCGACAACCCGACAAGAAAGTTCATAGGAATTTGGCTATGTGGTTTTTCCCTGTCGGTAGTGCAGGACGAAGGGCCTGGCAAAGAACAAGTGTCTAGATGTGTAGATGGGACAAAAACACAAGCTCCTGTGTATAATTGGCGTGCACACAAAAGAACCCTTCACTGTTGGAATTCGATGAAGAAATGCCACTGTCCACAGAAAATTACGTGGTGTCGGGTGAAAATGTCGTAATGTCGGGTTAAAATATCGTGTTTTCGGGTTGTCGTGATGTCGGGTTAAAATGTCGTCATGTCGGGTTGTCGCCTTACGACATCACGACATGATACTAATCTGCAGCCACCGTACAGAACTGTACGTATAACAATTTATATAATGTATATATACTCTTCAAAAAAAGTAGGGTATATTTAGAAACAATACAAAACTGCGGAAATGCACTGCTGTTTTTATTAGAGGTAACCAGTGTTTGTTAAAGGGACAATAACACTCTTGCTGGCTTGAAAGCTCCAGAAAATAAATAATATCTCTATCTAAGTACTTGATGTTTAAGTGTCCTACCTGTTGTGTAAATTATCCATTACATCCTATTTTACTTGTCCAGGGGTTAGAAAATATTTTTAAATCGAAGTTTCATTTGAAAAGGTTTACGTTAGACGTTTCAAACCATTATGTTGAATTTTTCAAAATTTTTAATAAGGTGTGTTAAGATGAAATTTGTATCATCAATTAATTGAAATATTCTAAAATAGTACAATTTGTTGACCAGAATAAAGATTGGGACATATTATTCAGTTACAACAAGAGTGGTATTGAGCCTTTAATAACAGGCCAATTGCCTACACATGAACATAAACAGTTCATATGGGCGGCTTATCTGACGGCCCCATTTCACTCGCAGAGAGATACATTGTCAAAAGTGAAAATGGACGTTTTAGATTTTTGTCTTAATAATGAGCAATTGCTCCACCAATCCTCAGACATTCAGCAATTCGTCGTGTCATAGTCCTAATCAACCATCCAATCACGATTTGGGGCAATCTGACCTACTCCCCTTGTAGTGCCACGGTCAATTTTTACAGTGTTGTCGGTTGACCGAACACGTCTCCTGATCAAATTAAACGTAACACACTAAAGCAAAGATTCGGTAAACAGTAAATCGTATGCAAGAACCGATAAGAAAGCAAACATGGATAGGATAAACCAGCACGCGGCAGTTTTCATCAACCCTTCCTTGAAGTGTCAAATTTGACAATGAACCCCTCCCACGTGTATGGCGCTATTGCGTGTCGCATGTGCAGCTCAGTGGTTCTGTTGGGGCGATAAATTCTTCATCTGTGAACAAACTCTCAAAGCATGTCAAGTGTCCATGACTATTTATCATACGCAACCAGCATAGGTATTTGTATTTCAATATCCCCTACTTATTTTTTGAAGAGTATATATGCACTAGATTATCTGAATGGCAGTCTGCTAGCGTAATATGATTCGATGTACACCAGGTGTGAAATAAGTAAACGTGGTTATTGTTTGCTTATAAACTGTATCTATTTATATTATTTCTACGTTAACTATATTTAAATATATATAACCATTACGATCTTAAACTTACTTCTATAATTAAAGTTGATGGTCTTCTTTAAATATAGGTAGTAGTATATATGCTCTATTTTTGCTTCATTTTCTAAATAGTTTCGTGGCAAATGCCTTATGCTAGTTGTGTTTAAATTATAGGCATACTATGCTAATTAGGTCCCATTTTGCAATATTTATTATGACTTACATATTATGCAATTGATATCGCCTCTTACTAAATTTAATTATGGTGCAATAATGTGATAAAGAAGCTTCTTACTAACCTTACTTTAAATGAGAATTTGTAATCCAACAGTACGCGGTGTCCGACTGCAAGCATATCCAGGTCACGATGTCATCTTTATGTATTTAGTTATGGAAAATCCAGAGTATGGAACACCGACCACATCATAATGTTATGTGATACTTAGATATATTATGGCTATTTGCACAGTAATGGGTTATATTATTCCCAACAGGAAGATTAAAAGAAATGTAATAATAGGCCATTTATCTATTTTGATTCATACCAAGGGACCATTTTAAAAATTAAAAATTCATTTATTGGGATAGCTTAGCGGGGTTGCTCCATCATATGAGTGTTTACATAACAGTACCCAGAGATAGCAAAAAAAGAACCACGGATATTGCATGATAAATACTGACCATTTGAGGTTTAGAAATGACTGTTCGACCTTTTTAAGTTAATAGTATGTTATTTCCACCTTATAATAATTTTGAATGGAGTGTTTATTCCCATTACTTTTAAAATTATAGTTGAATTATCAATTGGCATAACTCGGATGGAAAATAACAACTGTTATATCTCTACAACATTTATTTTCTTGATTTAATTATTTACAATACTTTTTATTCAATCTATGAATTATGTATTAAACAAACAAATAACAAAATAATCTGTTGCAAAGCTCTCATCAAAATAAATGCTGGATTTTGTTCGTTATATTGGATGGTATGGAAGCCTATAACTACCATTCATAATTTCTATATCCGAAGTCAACGTTATGTGTTTGCGGATGGAATGACGTTGGGCATTTTGTAGTGCAAAAATAACATGAAAATGATTCCCAAATACAGAATAGATCGGTATAAGACATACTTTATGCCAAATTCTACCAAATTTTACCAATGTAAGTGCACTTATTGTAAAATATCAACGCTTAGACACTTTACAAAATGTCGAGCGTTACGTTGTCGTCTCGGATGGAAAATGTGCAAAATATCTGAGAAAACTGAAGGAAAGATATTGTTATATTTACAGTGGCTAGAGACCGTGGTGTTGTCGTAATTCAACACTTAATCATTATTAAACAATTTTATCAAGATAATTCAAACATAGGCCTACACTAACTTTTTGCTGGAAGTCCAATAGGTCCTATTTTTCGGGAGTTTGGCTCCATCCAAAATATGAGGGTTTCCAATTGTTTTTTTGAGAAAAAATAATATGTAATTTTCATGCAGGTATATTATATTGTATTTTCTGTCTCACATCCCATACATCAATAAGGAACAATAACAAAATAATAACGAATATAAATATATTATGCAAGAGCTAAATCTGCCTATTGCAGGTCTTTCTTTAGGCCTGAAATGTTATATAAACTATTAATTAGACATTTATTAACAAAACAAGAGCATATTAATAAGCATCTCTCGATGGCAGCGGATACTCGAGATTTTAACCAGATTAGAACGGTTCGTCATTTAAAAATTTAATTTAAAAATGGGAAAGCGAGACTAAGTCTCAAATATACCAGTGCCCTGGTTACCACCATGCAGACATCTTGTCAAAACTACAATCCGTGATAACTTGGTTCAGAATGAAGTAATTTGAATGAAATTTTCAATATTTTCACATTACATTATCTATTTGTGAGCAATTATAGCAAGAATGGTCAACTCTTTATCTAAATCTTACATAATGTACCTTTAATTAATGATAAAAAATCGAAAGCTCTTTTCGAAATTTTAAAATATATTATCCATGTTCGATTAAGATGAAAGTTGAAATATGTGTTAACGATCAAAATATCTTAGATGAGATCGATTTTGGTGTGCATCAGACGTTCGATTCCGGTGTCATAATCCCCAGCCTCTGACGCAATATGTGAAATATGTACAAAGTTTGTGGATACTCCGATTCGGACGAAACTTAGCCTATATGTTAATTTTGGTGTACATCGTTAGATTTTTGAAAATTGTATTTACCAAGTGTGGATCTTTGTTTCTGGTAAGTTTCAGCCATGTAACTTATGACCATATTATTAGCCCCGTAAGGCGATATTGGGCGTGGTCTGACTTGGGGAAAGCCCCGGAAATTTTGGTTAGATTTGTGAAATATTTACTCCGACTATGGATACCATTGTCTCTACAAAGTTTCAGCCATGTAACTTATGACCTAATTTTAGGCCCCCTGGGGCCTACTTTAAGGTGCTGCTGTGGCTATATGCCCCAGCAGTGCCCGATCTGACCAACTGATTTTTACTCGTACGGACACCTGCTACGAATTTGGGTGTTCAAACCTTTTGTAACTGATGACCATATTATTTTGTCATTAGCTCCTGGACTATTAGCTTGTATTACTAAGCTATATCTAATAGGGTGTAGGTTCTGTAATTAAATTATCTTTTTATCTATCTGTGTTTGCATTGGAAGGTGAATGGGTGTATGGGCGTCGTTTAGGAGGGAAATTCTTTGTGATTATTATTGCTATAAATTTGTATAATTTTGAGAAATCTTTAAATCAGTTCATCTGGGTTGTTCAGCGTGGTTCCCCCTTGGCAGTCGTGCAGGACAGAGGAACTGGCAAGGGACACTGCATAGTCATTCGTTTGGGACGAAAAACCATGATGCCGTGTACACATTGGTGTGCATGTAAAAAACCCTTGTCAGCTGGAATTCGAGACAAGATTAGACCATATTGCCGTTGTCCTGGCACAATTTCGCTCTTAGTACCTCTTAGCACACTGTATGGCGTAATATGTCCGTCTTCATTCGGAGCAGAACAGTAGGACGTTAAACCCCATTTCATTTCCTATAAATCATATCAAATCACTTAATCACGACGAGGGTTTTACCACCTTATGCTGTCATAAATGGCGGGGTCGCGGAGATAATTTGCTGCGAATATTGTAGTAGGTAGTCTGGATAAGAGAAGACGGAGGAGCTTTCGCAGTGTAGCAATCAGATCTTTATCCAATTGTTTCTACATTATCTCTATTGTAACGCCACCCTGTGTATATATAAAACCGCTGATCGTCACTGTAACGCAACATTGTGGCCATGAAGACTACACGGGACGCTACTCCTAAAAAAGGGCATCCTGTCTTTATCTAAAGGAAACGGTATTGATTACGTCTCTTAATCGCTCACCCGTCTCCGACCTATGCGAGACGAGCCTCTTATTTGACTCCTCTTGCAGGTTTTAACACTTGCCTGTAATATCATTCTGCGATAGGTGGAAGCGGGCGTTATGTCACAAAGAAGAAGACACTGCAACGCTTTTATTATGTCCATTGTAACGCCATCCTGTATATGTTGCAAGCCGTTGATAGTTATTGGAAGGCTTTAGAGTATCTTATCTATATATATATATTTGTGACTGTCGTTTGTCTGTCTGTCTGTCTGTCTGTCTGTTCGGGGTTGGCGGCTACACTAGGTCTGCCCCGAGTCTGAAATTTGGGGTATAGGGGTAGATCGGACCGGGGAGTAACATAGGCCAGGTGGCGTTAGTCTACCACTTCCGGTTTCGGAGTTATGGCCCCCGAGCGAAGCCGGTCTGTTCGGGGTTGGCGGCTACACTAGGTCTGCCCCGAGTCTGAAATTTGGGGTATAGGGGTAGCTCGGACCGGGGAGTAACATAGGCCAGGTGGCGTTAGTCTACCACTTCCGGTTTCGGAGTTATGGCCCCCGAGCGAAGCCGGTCTGTTCGGGGTTGGCGGCTACACTAGGTCTGCCCCGAGTCTGAAATTTGGGGTATAGGGGTAGCTCGGACCGGGGAGTAACATAGGCCAGGTGGCGTTAGTCTACCACTTCCGGTTTCGGAGTTATGACCCCCGAGCGAAGCCGGGTATCCTGCTAGTAATTAATATTTATTTGATTAAAATTTATATTTGCACCCCCCTCATATACATCGGAACTGTCATTTCGGCAGTTCTATTGACGATTAGCTGATGGTCCACTTTCTGCGCTTTACGGTATGGCTTTTCATTGATACATGGTATACGATCCAATTTATCCACAGGTATATTGCTTTCGGCATTTTCTGAATGGCTGTTCAACAGCAGCTCATCAACGTTGTATGGATGCGTCTCGGTGACAACATGTTCAGGGAGGTCAAATTTCTCAAAGCCAATGGTTTCATCTGAGTCGCCCCCAATGGTTTCATCTGAGTTGCCCCCAATGGTTTCATCTGAGTTGCTCCCAATGATATCATCTGAGTTTACTGTTACACTTTCTACCGCATTAAGGGCTTCATTTGAACTCACATTTTCTGCGCTGCCTTCCATTGACCCGAGCCTCCCATTTGCTTCTAACAGCATGTCCCTTGAAATATGTGAGTCCGAATTCCTTCTCAGTTTATCTATTATCACATTGAGGAGTTTCCAGGTCGTGTGACCTTTTTTTCGTTTTATTGTACAGTACACAACTACACAAATCACAATAAAGATTGTTATGCTTGTCAAGGCGATAATAACTTTGCATTGTGTTGCAGTAAGTTTCTTACTTTTCGTCTGCGAGCTAATGTGAACTGTAGAAGAGACTGAAACACTGGATGTTGTTTCTACATCTGGAAAAGAAGCGGGAAAAAAACATTAAATATGATATAAACCATGCTAGCCAATTGCAATTTTACTGACTTTCAATTTTAAAGACTAACTGAAATGTCATTCGGATTGATACTAAAGAAGCAACATTGCTATTAATTTATAAATAACAACCAACGACTCTCAGTCTTGGCATGGTGTTCAAATAGGCATGGTATATTATGGAAATGAAATGAATGGGGTTTGATGTCCTACTGTTCTACTCCGACTGGACCAATGAAGGCGGGTATACTCCATACAGGGTGCTATGGTGGAAATTTTGCCCGGAAAGCAGCGCTAAGACCTTTTCTTATATCACATTCCAACTGCAATGTGCAAGCCAATGTGTACGCGGAAACCGGGGTTTTCGTCCTATCCGAACGACTAGACAGCTGCCCTTGTCAGGTTCTCCGTCCTGCATCACTGACATGGGGAAACCACTCCCGAAAATTCCGATGAACTTTCTCGACCAACAGGCTCTCCAGGCTATAGCGAGCCATTAATTTACCAACCTACACATGCTCCAAAAAAGAATGTTTGACCACTACTCTGTCTTAAAGCTGAACTCCGA